CTCTCTCTCTCTCCTCTCTCTCTCTCTCTCTCTCCTCTCCTCTCTCTCTCTCTCTCCCCCTTTCTCTCCTCTCTCTCCTCTCTCTCTCTCTCTCCTCTCCTCTCTCTCTCTCTCTCTCTCTCTCTCTCTCTCTCTCTCTCTCTCTCTTTCCCCCTTTCTCTCCTCTCTCTGTTTCAAAATATTTTCTCCCACTTCATTTTTCCTCCTTTTCTTCCAACCCCTGCAATTGATTTTGACTTCCTTGTCTCAAGTGGTTTCCCATCTAGTCTCTCCAGTCTGGAACTCTCACTTCTCAGCATTTTAGCTAAGATTAATTATAATATCTAATGCTGAGACCAGACATATGCTATCACACCAGGCTTGGGGTTTGGGTTGTGGTCCATTTTGAATTTGTTTTCCCATATGGGGTGAAGTAGGGGTAGAGATAAAGAGTTATCTTCCTTACCACATTTCCATATGGAAAGCAATTGTGTCAGCAACTCTTGCGGTCTATTCTTTGTGACACCAGGTACTCAGAAGGTCCCTTGATGGAGTCATGTTAAATGTTGGTTCCAAACTGGTCATTCTGTAAAGTGGCCCTCCCACAGCCCAGGCCTCCTGCTGCCAGGGCCGTGTCTCACAATAGATAATGTCCTGCTGGGGCAGGCTCTTCAAGATCATCTTGGCTAACTCTTTTTTTCAGTTCTTGTTTTCACTAAAGTTATACATGTGTTGACATGTATAAAGCTATGACAGTTGGACAGTTAAGCATACTATAAAGTGTACAACTGAAAACGTTATTCCCTGTCTCTTCTTCTGCATACATCTCCCCACAGAAAGGCCGCCACCTCAACAATCTCCAGTTTATTGTAGTTATCTTCACTCCCACTACCTTATGCTCCAGATCTCTACCTATACACACATTCTCCATGCAAGGTATACAACTACGACACTCACGAACTTTGCAGATCCTCTTCCTCCCTCACCTTCCCTCTTTTAATTTTAGGCAGATTCTCATTATGTGCCCACCACTGACCTTGAACTCACTATGCAAATCAGGCTACTCTGGAACTCAGAGGTTCTCTCACCTCTGCCTCCAGAGGGGTGGGATCGAAGGTGTGTGCTACCACACCCACTCACCCCCTGCTTCTTATACACACACCACACACCTGCGTTTCACACACAGGAAACACATCCACAAAGTTAACAACATAGTATTTTCTGACAGTGTAGCAACATAACAACATAAAGAGCAACTGTTTTAAAACAGTTGAACATCTGGGGAATATGCAACACAGTTGATACAGAGAACTACAAATTAAAACTAGCCAAGTAATAGCCTAAACCTATGGGCAGAGAGAGAGAGAGAGAGAGAGAGAGAGAGAGAGAGAGAGAGCCACCGGAGAGAGACCTCTGAGCTGGATTTGACCTGAATGTTCTCTTCTTGAGGATTAGCTTTAATGGTACCAGAAGGCACATGAAAGCTTCCAAAAGAGGGAGGCAACCAACAATCCTACCCAGCTATGACTCCTACGAAGTACAACAACGAACAGCATAGCATGATAACCCTAAGGATGCAGTAGTGGCACACACCTTAGTGGTAACCAACAGCTCTCTAATTGGATTTAAGACCTGATCAACAGTCTATGCCTGGTACTGGAAACCTAGCTAACTACTCAGTGCTGGTGAAGTCGTGGTTATTGGAGGAGACTCTACAACCACTAATTTACTAACCAGCATAACCCCTAACAACAATATAAAAACATTTGTCATTACCCAAAGAGAAGTGCAGTCTTCACTCCTCATCAAGGAAATTTCTTTTTGCAACACATGGAGACCATTACAGAAAACCACAAAGAGTCAAAATACAGAGTTGTGGTGCCCAATCCCAATGGATCTACAAAACACTCCTGCACCTAAAGCTCAGGGAATACTGGGGAAGAGGAGGTGGAAAGATTGCAAGAGCCAGAGGATCAGGGAGTAGTTTGCTGTGATGTAGTAATATGAGAAACCGCACCCATAAAATCTCACCAAAATGAATGGCCAAAGTGAGCTGTACAAGGATGGCACCAATGAATATGCAAATAGGAAGGAGAGAAGAACTTAACCCTTCACAAAGAACTACAGGCAATGAGGAACGCTGGAAGTGGAAAAGGCGATCTTCTCCAGGAAAGAGCACACCAACTGGATGTCCAGTGCCAAATGGTCAGCCTTGAAAACATACAAGTAACAGTACATGAACTAAACAGGTTATATTTAGGAGTGTGTGTGTGTGTGTGTGTGTGTGTGTGTGTGTGTGTGTGTGTGTATAACTAACAATTAGCCAAAAAAGGGGCATGAAATTGAAGGTAGGAAAGGAAAGGAAGAAATGTTACAATTAAATTATAATCTCAAAAGAAAAAAAATGAAGATAACCTTATAGTGAAGAAGGCTGAAGAAAACTACCTAATGGATGGTGGAGACGCAGATTGATACAGACCTTTGAGGATACCCATCAATCTAATAATATATACCTAAAGTTCCCAAAGGGTTTTTAATCTTTTGAAAAATATTTTTATTTAATGTGTATGGATGTTTTGCCTGCATGGATGACTGTGCATCACATGTGTGTAATGCTCAAGGAGACCAGAGGAGGGTGCCAGATGCCCTGGAATTGGAGTTACCTGGTTGTGGGATGCCATGTGGATGGGGGGGGGGGGGGGGGGTGTGTGGTGGGAGGGGGGAGGCAGGAGGCAGGT